TCCGCGACGATACGGTGGGTATCATTATGAAGGATGTGTTGAGTCTCCTCAGGGAGCGAGAGTTGGCTAGAGCCAGATCACGGTCGCAGTTGTCAGCGTTCCTGCGGGACCGGAGAAAGACCAATGGCGCGCTCCCTTCAGATGAGGCGTCCAGCCCTGAGTCGCAGCTTGAGAGTCCCTCTCCTAGGTAGGCTTCATAGCAAGAACATATTTCGAAATCGCGAATAATATAGCACTATAATGGTATAAGGTATACATGATACTATAATGATATAGTATAGGGGGCTTGTTTGGTAGGAACGTTTCCTCTCTGGCCGATCGATTCGAGACTCGAGCTCTTTTCCCCATTGTTACGCTACGTCGCGGATGGAAGCCTGGGATTTTTAATAATAATATACTAGTATAATATACATAATATACCTTATGCCTCTATAAAGGCATATACATAGCAATAGTAGTGGCTGAGGATGTTGAGCTTGCCTTTGCAACAGGTCATTGATATCTCCGTACTCTGAGGGTATGCAGGCTCAGGGTCAGGATGATCATCACGATGAGGAAGTGTTGGAGGTTACGTTGGCCCCTGAGCCTGATCGTCATGGGGAGGGGGTAGAGGGGGGCCTCCCTGGGTTGGTCCAGAGGGGAAGTACGGTTGTTGTGGCGGAGAATCCTACAGTCCACTGTATTGAGAACTCGCCAGAAGGCACCCCATGCCCCTCAGAGGACAACAGTGTGAAGGAGCTCTCTACGAAGGAGACCTGGCCAAACGAACATTCAATGCTGGTGTTCAGTCGTGATGGACGAGTAAGGCGATTCTGCAGTAGCATTGCTGATGCGCCCTGGTTCGACAACTTCATTATTGCGTGCATAGCGGTGTCGTCAGCACTCATGGCTTTGGATAGCCCTCTGCATGACCCCACTTCGGGCTTGGCACGGTTCCTCGATGTCACGAACACGTTGTTCACGTTCATATTCCTTGTGGAGATGCTCATCAAGTGGATAGCCTTTGGAGTGGTCTTGAATAAGGGCGCGTATTGGCGTGACTCGTGGAACATTCTTGATGGAGTTGTGGTGATCGTATCGGTGGTTGACCTATTGCCGATGCTACCCGATGTCTCTGTGCTCAAGACATTGAGAATGCTACGTGCCCTGAGGCCCCTGAGGGTCATATCTCGGAATCCGAACCTGCGTTTGGTGGTTAACACGCTGTTCCGAATCTTACCGGAGCTCTGCAACCTCCTCATCGTGGGAGGACTCTTCTTCTTGATCTTTGGTCTGTTTGGTCTGTCCTACTTCAAGGGAAAGTTCTACACATGTCAAGTGAGCCTCCAAGTGTCGATGCACCGTTCAGGAATCTCCCTCAGGTTGGCGACCCTAGTACGAGAGGAGTCGTCGAGTGGCAGTATGAAGACCGGCGAAGCGTTATCGTGACCCCTATGTGTCTTGACCAGACGCTCGGCCATCTCACTCTCGCCACTGTGAGGATGGCCATCGTTCCAGATGGTCATCTCTATTTCAGGGTTTCTCTGAGGGCTTAACAGGAAGTGCAGCACTGCAATGCGCTGATAGCGTGCCTTGGTCGAGACAAACTCCGGACACGCCAGTGT